TTGAAATTGAAATTGAAAATTGAAAGAGATGTATCTTTGCTCTGGAAACTGTTATTATGTTAAAGCTGTAATGAAATACTTCTTCTAAAAAATATATAAAAATATATTTTTAAAAAATTCAGGTGTCTGCATTATTTCTAGTCCTTATTCTTTTGTTTCCCTTGTCTGTCATGTGCCAGACTCCAACTGCCATCAGCTTTCACATACACTCTCTTTCACTGGGCACAGCTCAAGGAATAAAATGCTCATTTTTGAACAAGGAAAATGGGTATCAGGAGAGTTTATAAGCCTAGGATGCTTTATAAACTGAGCAATGAAATAATTTGTCATCAAAGCATAGTTTCCACCTATCTGGACAGAAGAGGCTTAACCAAGTTGATGGATAAAGTTGATCTTACAACAAAGCTACAATTAGTTGAATAAATACAGAGGTCAAGGAGGTGATATGTGGAGAAGAGCAGTGGAAAGGTACCTCAGATAAGCCACAGTGAGTTTAGGTGGCGGTCGATGTGTAGAGACCTAGAGTCCATGGGGCCAGGAGCAGGCCAGCAATAGAACATCTTGTTTTGAAAAGGAAAGCAATCACCACTTTTCTCCCACCAATAAGGATCATTTTTATGAGTACCATGTCTACTTCCTCTTATTTTTCCATCTTTAACAATCACGTGATTTTAAATTTTCTATTTTTAATAAGGTTACCAAAAGTAAGTTTCTTCTGCTTTGCTGTGACTCTAGAATAAAAAATACATTTGTGAATTTAATAGTATTCTTCCAATCCCTTTTTAAAACACAGCACCTGCCTTTACATACACACATTTAGAAAAATTATATTAGTGTTTAGTAATCTTTCCATTCATATTATATGTATAATTCTTTGAGTTTTCCTGTTTCCTTATTAATTTTGTTTCCTTTGTTTTTGTTTGTGTTTGTGTTTTGATCAGAGTGTAGATACATAACCCATTCTCAATGTCCCATTTCCACTCCCACATATTGAGATGACAGTTATATGCTGCCACAAACAGTGATATATCATTCATCAACCCACTTTCTCACTTTATATCCAGTTCTCCCAACAAGTATCTACTGGTAGATATATAGACCTGATTTAATTTTCGGTAACTGCTGTAAAATAATTCATCATATCTGCCATATATTATTGAAGCGTTCCCTTACTTGTCTGTTTCTCTATTTTATTACAAAAAATGGTTTTGATACAAGACAATTCTGTGGTGAATACACTTGTATGGATTTCTGTGGACACATTCATGGGGAGATTTTCTTTAGCAAACTACATATAAGTGAATCAAACAGCATTTTACTTTTTTTTTTTTTTTGCAATGCAGCAAGGAAACTTTATTCAAAGCAAAGCAATAGGACAGATCAGATAACTGTTAAGACTGACAGCAGGGGGTTGAAGAGACAGCTCAGTGGCCAAGAACACGGGCTACTCTTGGAGAGGACCTGGGTTCAGTTTCCAGCACCCACATGGCGGATAACAACCAACCACAACTCAAGTTTCAGGGAATCCAGAGCCCTCTTCTGGCCTCTGAGAGCATTACACAACATGGGCACACTCACATACATACAGGCAAAATAAAATGGAAAGAAATCAGAATTTTTTAATTTTTAAATATCTTATTATTTTTATTTTATGTGTATTAATGTATTGACTGCATGTATGTAAGTGCACCTATGTTGTGCAATGCCTGCAGAGATCATAAGAGGGTATTGGGCCCCCTGAAACTGGAGCCATGGACAGCTGCCAGATGCCATATGGGTGCTGGAATTCAAACCTGGGTCCTCTGCAAGAGAAACCAGTGCCCCCAACTGCTGAGACACCTCTCCAGGCCCAGTGATTGCCTCTAATCCCAGCACTTAGGAGGCAGAGACAGGCAGATCTCTGTGAGTTCCAGACCAGTCTGGTCTATATAATGAGTTCTAGGCCAGCCAGGGCTATAGAGTGAGACCCTGCTTCAAAATAAATAAATAAACCCCTTCTTCTTTAATTTGCTCTTGTCAGAGTATTTGATCACAGAAACAGAATAAGACAGCTCCCAACACTGCTGTAGTATTTTACTTTTAATAAATAAACACCATCTAATGGCCTTCCATGGTGAGTATGCCACCAGCTGTGTGTGAGGAAGCTTGCCAGTTCTCACCTTGAGCACCAGTGACACTCATGAGTTAGTCTTAAGGTGAGGTTGAACATCTTTGAAAACGTGTGTGTAAATTGTAAATTTGTCTTCATGCATTAACCTGTTTGTCTATTGTCTAATGTTCTTTGTATTTTTAGGCACATTCTTTGTACTCCATATTTTTGGCTGCAGTAGAGATTCCAAAATATTCTCCCACGCAGTGGTTGGTCATATGACCTACATATGTGCCTTCTTATTCAGAAATAGCTTGTGTGTTAAATATCCACGTTTATGAATCCATTTTATCTCATTTCAGAAAGTTTTCTCTAGCCTAGGTCATGAATGTATTCTCAAACAACATCTTCTGATAATTTTTCGACAGGAATTTACAAATGTATTTTTCAAGCTGTAATTTATCTTTACGGTTATATGAAAAAAGAAGCTAGTTTTATTTTTAACCCCCTCCCAAGTGTCTCCACATACTCACAGAGTTGAATGAAAATTCCCATTGCTGCACAATCTTATATGAACTTGCATAGACTTCAAAGATCCACTTATACCTTACTAATTAATATCATACAATTAACTATATACAATCATTATACATAATACCTATTTAACCAGTATGTCACATATAATAAATACATCATTGATTCATGTCATTATATAGTATACAAAATCTTATACAATATCTTATAATTAATTTCAAAATATGAAAATTGATTTTATTTTGTCGTAAAATTATTCAAGTGCTATTTTATTAAGTATACAAGTTTGAGGGTAAGGCAATATTTATTTCTTGATAACGTTCTACATTTATTGACTCTAGGAGTCAAAATTTTAATATTTTTTCTGATAATGGAGAAATTCTTTACTAATTTCTAACTTATTTTCTTCTTAATATAGAAGGAGATACTGAGCTGAGGATTTAGTTCAGTGGTAGAATGCTTACCTATCATATACAAGGCCCAGCATAAAAAAAAAATGTATGCTAAAGCATAACTTATTTGTCAAACAAAGGATAAATTTATTATAAATTATGAGGCTTGCAATCTTAAAGAGTAAAAATTTAGAAACTACATGCCCAAAGTTTGTAAAATCAGGAAAAAAATGGAATAACCACAGGCATGTCTTTAAAACTCCAGAACATAATAGTCCCATGGGGCATGCAATAAATAGTCAGTAGTGTGACAGAACAGCACCAAAAGTCATGAGTGTGGGAAAAGAACTGGTGGGGAGCATGACAGGGATAGGAGGGAGATGGGAGACGGCAGGGTGAGAATATTCAGAATGCAGTGTACACAGGTATGGGATTGTCAACAAACTAAATTAATAAAAATGGAAAATAGAAGGAAATGCCACTTTCTATTACTTACCAAAGAAAAAGTTATTCTACACTAGAGGCAGGATATATTTCACACCTAGGAGAGGAAAAACAGTAATCTCTTTGTGGAAGGAAAGGACTGAGGTAGAAACAATAGTATCAAATATTTCAGGAGTTTCCCATGTATGCGAAACTGTTTAAAACATTATTTAGATTATCTAGTTTAATTCCCAAAGTAACACTTTGACAATAATATGCTAGGAGTTTCCGGTGTGGGGGAAACTGCATTAAAAGCTTTATCTAGATTATCCCAGTTAAGCCTCAAAATAACATTTTAAACACAAATTGTCTTATAGCTTCCCCCAAATTTATTGAGATACACATTTAAACCTTTTAAAAATGGAGAGTCCTGTCATTCACCACAGCACAGGTAGACATGGAGGAGATAATGTGAAGTGAAATAAGTTAGACACATCTCCCACTTAGATAAAAAATCTAAAATGTCTTTACTCTTACTTTAAAGACAGGCATCAAGGGTTTGTAGATTTTGTTGTCACTCATTGAAGGTCATGCTGCCAGTAAGGATAGGAAATAAGACCTAGAATGTGATTTGTCTACAGTCTGGATCCTACCCTGTCTGGTGTAATATAGAAGGCACACTAGAGATGTTACAAAGGAAGATGAGATTCACACAACCTTGGATGCACTCAAGACTGGTGATAGAGGACTAAGCAGGATGTGTGTGTTTTTTAATATATTTCATTTGTTATTTTTATTTTATATGTACAAGTGTATTTCCTGCATGTATGTGAGTGCACCCATGTCATGCAATGCTACGGAGGTCAGAGAGGGTATCAGATTCCCCTGGAACTGGAATTAAGGACAGTTAGTGGCCATGATGTAGGTTTGGGAATTGAACTTGGGTCCTCTGCAAGAGCAGCCAGTGCTCTTAACCACTGAGCCATCTCTCCAGCCTGCCGGACGGCTTTTAGTTTTATTTTTGTCTCATAATTCTATGGCTTGATTAATTATACCACAGGCTCCAATTATGTCAATATAGATTATAATTTAAAGATAGTGATGAGTAAAAAATAACTGATTTTGAGTTTCAAAATTAGATAACTTTGATTAGTCAGTTAACCACACCAAAAAAAAAAAAAAAAAAAAAAAACTTGATTAACAGGGCTACAGAGATGGCTCAGCAGTTAAGAACACTGGTTGCTCTTGCAGAGGACCTAGTTTCAGTCCTCAGCACACACGTGGTGGCTAATGCTTGTCTGAAACTCCAGTTCCAGGAGATCCGAGCCTTCTTCCAGGTTCTGTGGGCATGGCACACACAGAACACTTACACACATGCAGGCAAACACTCATACACACAAAAATAAAAATCAATTAAAAATGTTAAACATGGCTCTTTGCTTCTGAAATAGGAATAATAATTTGTCATATATATTGTACAGATATTGTACAATTAGAATGTGTAATTCAACCACAAAAGCCTATAAAGATGAAACAATGGATAAATGGAATAAAATGATACATGGTTTAAAAAAATGTGAGCTTTGATTGTTGCATTTACAGAAATGGACTGACTACATGTGCTTCTCTACCACTGAGATTCAGGTACTTGCAATTTCCTATCATACAAAAAGTTTTCTCGTGGCATTTTTTACCTCTTCATTTCTCAGAGTATAAATGAGTGGATTCAACATAGGTGTCAGAATACCATAAAATACTGCCATGCTTTTATCTATTGATAAAGTAGTTGTTGAACACATGTAACTAAATATGCAAGGTACAAAGAACTAGGTGACTGTGGTGAAGTGGGCACCACAGGTGGACAGGGCTTTGCATCTCCCCTCTGCACTGTGGGACCTCAGTGAGCGCAGGATGACAATGTACGAGGCAGCTAGCATGAGGAAGTTCAACAGGCAGATCACACCACTGTTAGCCACCACCAGCAGGCCAATGACATATGTGTTGGTGCAGGCCAGCTCCAGCAAAGGGTACAAGTCACACACAAAGTGATTGATCACATTGGGCCCACAGAAAGGTAACTGAAAGATCAGAAGGAGCTGAATGGATGAATGCAGGAAGCCCCCCAGCCAAGCCACAGCCACGAGCATGGCACAGAGGTGTCTGGTCATGATGGTGGTGTAGTGCAGGGGCTTGCAGATGGCCACATAGCGGTCATAGGCCATCACTGTGAGCAGAATAATTTCCACACCTCCCAGGAAATGAGCCCCAAACAGCTGGGACATGCAGTCTTCATAAGAGATAGTTGTCCTTTCATACAAGGAGTCTGCAATGAGTTTAGGGGCCAAGGAAGAAGAATAGCAGGTGTCAATAAAGGATAGATTGGAAAGGAAAAAATGCATTGGGGAAGCCAGGGTAGAGCTGATGGTGATGGTGAGCACAATGAGGATGTTTCCAGAAACTGTGACCACGTAGATTACCAAGAAGACCACAAAGAGAAGCCTCTGCACCTCTGGCTTCTGGGAGAGTCCCAGCATAACAAATTCTGTAACATTGTGTAGTTTTTCCATAGACTCCGAGGGTACTGAGATTGCAGGAACAGTGTTGCCTTTAACTTGAAAGAGCACAAGCAAGAGAATGAATTCCATGTTTCCTTTGAAAACTCTGCCCCTCTTAACACTCTTATCTCCTAGAATCTTAGGTCAGTTTATTGTCATCCATAAAATGTGAGCATATGCCTTTTGTTTCACTGGACCCTAAATACTGAAGTCATTAGCTGAAAATAATAACTTCATCATCTCAACTTTTTTGGTTACAGCTGAGATTGAACATTTGGCATGCTCTGATTTTCTAATTCAAACTGGAATGCATCTCTGATCATTGTCAAGATAAATATGATGGCATTTGAGAAAACATCTCCTAAAATCTCTTCCTATCTGGTCTACACCCTTTGAATGAAAGCTTTTTACTTAACACTTTTCAAAGATGCTTGCTCTCTTGAGTCAGTTTAGCTGATGGTAACAGAAAGTAGTATTAAACTAAAAAAAAAAAAACTGAAGCAGGATTGGGAGACACTGATGTGACTACTGTTGGAGACGTGTATAACAGTTCCCCTCCTCTCCTTCATTTCCACTTGCTCCAGCCCAGGATGTGCTCAGCGTCCTGTCTAGGAAACAACTGACCTGCTTTCCTCCTGCTTCTGGGTTATGCTTGCCTTTGCCTTAATAAAGTCCATCTCACTAAAGGCTTCTGCTCCCTCCACAGTCTTCAAGGAGGACTCTAGGACTAAAAGAATATAATTAAATTATTGGGGAGAATTTTAATAAAATTATCTGTTTATTTTCTACAGAAGGGAAATTGTTAGCACAGAAAGAAAAATAGTGGCTCTGTCTTTTTCTTTGTTGGGCTCTTACTGTACAGCACAGGATGCTTACAGTCCTCCTACCTGAGTCTTCCTGGAGATGTGAATACAGACATGCAGCACCGTGGCCAGCTCAGATGCTATCTGAGCCAGCTCATAAATTATAACCTTGTCTGGAAGAATTTGCCTACATACTTTTTACTCTCCCAGTGATATTAGGAGAAAGCCTGTGTCTATCTTAGCTTTGGTTTTTCTTCACAGCTATCTTTTTCCTAGAAGTAAAGGTCATTTTCATTAATTAAATCTTTCTATTTTCTAAAGACATAAAACATTTAGTATAACAATTCAAGGAAAACTATTGAGTTTTATAAGAAGACAAACAGACCCAGATTTTATAAATACTACAGAAAAGATCCTTTTCTGATCAGGACACTGCTCTCCTCTCTCTTTTCTCTTAATGCATATCAGCACATGCAACCCTCACATCAACCCCACAGGTAAATTCTCATTTTGTACAGAAAGAAAGCAAGGCTGTGTCTAACAACTTTGAATGGGGGGCTCAAGTACCTTCATTGTACTACATCTTCTTACAATGAGCAAATTAGTGGCAGAGCTGAGGCTTGAGACCTAGGTAGTCTTCCCACAGGGTCTGCGAGCTGAGCTGTATGATATTGTCAGTTACGCACATCTGGGTTTGGACCTTTCTGTTGATACTCATTGGTAATATAACCATTAACAATTTCTCAAAGCCTCAATGTTCTTATCCATAAAATAAAAGTAACGGTACTTACTTATTACCTGTCGATTTTTAAAACTGTGTTAAATTCAAAAATGAAAGAGTTTGGTCAGGTATGGTGGTACATGCCTTTAATCCCAGCACTTAGGAGGCAAATGCAGGTAGATCTCTGAGTTAAATGCCAGCCTGGTCTACATTCCTAGTCCAGCCAAGGCTACATAGTGAGACCCTCAAAAAACAAGAAAGAGTTCTTCTACAAATAAATGTTGCAGAAAGGGCATGAATACAGTGCATGGCAAATATTTGTAATAATCTGGATGTAATAAATATTTAATAAACAATATCTCTGATTATCTCCATCATCAACCCCAGGGAAAATTATTCATGTGACTTAAGGAACCAGAACATTAAGTATATGTAATCATAATTAAGCAGCTATTTATATGGATATAATTTCATTATAAATATGAAAAATTCTCTAATACTTATTTTCAATCAGGCAGGAAAAACTAAAGGAAAGATATAATCAACATGAACACTATAGCATATAGACAAACAATGAATTCATATGTCCTAAAATAAAAAATAATAAGCCAGTTTGTCTCTGTGATTCAAAATGGTGACCATAGGAAAAAAGTATCTGTTAAAAACAAAGTAAGGAAACAAAGTCTCCTGTTCAGATTATCCATAAGAAACAATTATGCTATATAGCATAATAAAATTTCTGCTAAAATTATCCCAATGTATTTTATATAGGCTGTTTTTTTTATCTTATTTTAAAAATAGAATTTTCAGGCCAGACTTGGTAGTACATGCCTATAATCTAATCGATCAAGAAACAGGAGGATTGCCAGAGTGCAACTCCAGCCTAGACTACATAGGATCAGCTAGGGCTACATCTCAAGACCTTATCTCAAAACCAAAAAATAAAAAAAAAATAGATTATAGAAAACTTACATTGATTGGATCTGAGGACACCACAGGATGCCCACAATTTTCTTACAGTCCAACATCACAGAATGATAAACCCAGAAA